ACACACCACACACCACACACCACACATCACACACCACACACCACACACCACACACCACACATCACACACCACATATCACACACCACACACCACACATCACACCACACACCACACACCACACACTACACACCACACATCACAAATCACACACCACATATCACATACCGCACACCACACACATCCACATACAACTACCACCACACACACAAAAAAATAACAAACTCAAAAAAGATTCTATGGGCCACAATTCCGGAAATTATTTACGATCTTGTTCCTTATAGCAAACACATTGTGCTAACCTGTAATCTGGAGCCATCTGGATTTTGTTGTCATCATTTACTACGTAGCCATGTAGGACTGGCCTCATGGGGACCGTGTGTGGTGCACATTCTTGGGCGTGCACAAGGATGCCACAGTGAGAACTCTGTCTGACTGAGGGAGGACCAGGCTGAACACACCCCACGGTCCTCTGCAGAAAACTTATCACTTAAGCGCAGACTATCAGAATCTGGGTGGTGCTTATGTGTGTGCTCTTATGTGGGTACACTGGCTTGGGATTTTTCAGCCTTTAAACTATTTTTGTTGCAAAAAGTTATTTGCCAAAAAAATTATTTCATGTCCGTGTGTAAAAGCCACATATATAATCATTGTTTTGAGAGCGGGGTGTGGTGGCACACACCTTTAATCCCAGCACTCGGGAGGCAGAGGCAGGTGGATCTCTGTGAGTTTGAAGCCATCCTGGTCTACAGAGTGAGTTCCAGGACAGCCAGGGCTACACAGAGAAACCCTGTCTTTAAAAATGAAAATAAAACAGAACAAAATCCAATAAGTGTTATTTTGATAGAAAACACACCTCAGCTCCTGCATGGCTGCCTCAACAGAGTCCTCTATTGAAACTTTGTGGGCTGGACACGGAGAATCCTAAAGTGCCCCTGTGTGGCATTGGCCTGATTGTTATAACACGTTCTCACCACAGGGGGCAGAGCATTCGTGGGTATGACCTAGCTCTGTGGTGCAAGAATTCCAGTCCAGCCAAGCTGCGTGCATGGTTTACTTTGCTGTCTCTTAATTTTCTTTCTGGGGATAGAATGTTGTTTACATAAGACATTCTGGCAAGAAAATGCAAATCAGGCACACAGACAGAAGGCTAGGGGGATCGGATTTAAAATGCTTAAAAGCAAGAATTTGCCGCATTCGCAGAAAAGCTGAATCCCCGAGAGCGCTAAATGCTGGTTACAAATGCTTCCTCTTAAAAAACCAGACTCTCACCTGGCAGTGGTGGCGCACGCCTTTAATCCCACCCAGCACTTGGGAGGCAGAGACAGGCAGATTTCTGAGTTCGAGGCCAGCGTGGTCTACAGAGTGAGTTCCAGGACAGCCAGGGCTATACAGAGAAACCCTGTCTTGAAAAATTCAAAACAAAACAAAACAAAACAAAGGAACAAAAACAGACTCTCCTTTTCACTGGAATAAACATGGAGTAAAAACAAACAAGTCATTTGAAAGCAAGTAGTCTGGAGGCAGCTATAGTTCTCTCTTTTTCCAAGGATACTGTTGCACATACAAGAACATCCAGTGTTTGTATGCAAGCAGTGGTCTAGCCCACACCAATCTTCATCATGCTTACTTTTTCCTCTTCCTAAGCAATGTATTGAAGATTGTTCCTCAGTGCCCAGCATCTTCCCTGTTCTCTTAACACCCAAAAAAGAGCAGGTTGTATGGAGTATACCTGCCCCCACCCCGCCCTGCCCCTCCCTGCAGTCTGGTTCTCTCTTGTGGGACATTTAAGTGGTCTGCAGTCTTCAGCTGTTACAAACAATGGGACAATAGCCACATCTGCACCAAGGTCCTGTAAACACGCCCACACCCAGTACCCTACATTCCCAGGAGATGAGTGACGGGCTAGAAGGTACGTGTGCTGTCAACTGTAGTTATGTTCACTGTCCTTGATGGGGGTAATGATAACAGGCGACTTCCATGAGCTGTTGTGATGTGTGGACAGGGTTCTGAGTGCTGTACCTTTCTCAGCTGCAAGCAGTGAAATATCTGTACGTTTTCATCAGCATTTATGTTGTTATTATCTGTCGAAAAGACGTCGTGGGAGTTGAAGGCTTAACTCAGTGTTAGAGCATTTGCTTAGCATGTGCGAGGTCTCCCCAACACATAGGTTGGAGGGAGGGAAGGAGGGGGGGAGGGAGAGAGGGAGGGAGGGAGGGAGGGAGGGAGGAAGAGAAGGCAGAAGGAAGGAGGGGAGGGAGGGAGAAGAGAGAGATAGGAAAAGACTTATCTTTACTTTCCTGTGACTAGTGTTTATATCCTCGAACCTTCTTTCTGCTGAGCTGCGCTCAGTGTGGAAAGCCTTTTGAATACTGAGACCCTGGGCAGCTTATCTCAGCTGGCTCCCCTTCTCTTGCTCTTATCATCCTGGAATCTGGATAATATTTTCCATGAGGAAACTTTCAGTTCTTGTTGAATTGATCCCTCCTTTCTCTATCTCTGTGTGTATTTGTGTGTCTCTTGTGTGTGTGTCTCTCTCTCATGTGTGTATGCTCTATGTGTGTCTCTCTGTGTGTATCTTTGTCTCTCTCTGGTGTGTGTGTGTGTGTGTATGACCCTTTCTCTGGATCACCTTCCCTATCCTTTGTACCATCTTTGAAAAGGTCACTAGACCCGCAATTATTAACATGATCTTAGTGGGGCTGGAAAGATGGCTCAATGTAGAGCACTTGTTGTAACTGCAGCAGGGACCCCAGCACCCACAAACAAGCCTGAACAGTGCTGTGTGCCTATGACTTCACTGCTAGGGACACAGAAAGTCAAACCCCTATGGCTTGCAGGCCAGTCAGTCTAGCCTAAACAGCAAGCTCCAGGTTCTATGAGAGACCTTTTCTTAAAATATGAGGTGGAGGGGCTGGAGAGAGGGCTGAGCAGTCAAAAGCACTTGCTCTGAGGTTATGAGGACCCAGCTTCTGTTGCCAGCTCCCAAGGCATTCCCTTAGGAACACCTGGAAGCCAAGTGCTGGGAAGGACAGAGACAGGAAGATGGTTGGGGTTCTCTGCTTTCCAGCCTTGCTGAGGAGCAAGCCCAGGGCTCAGGAAGTAACTCTCCCCTTCTTCCTTCTGCCTTCTCTCCCTCCCTCCCTCCCTCCCTCCCTCCCTCCCTCCCTCCCTCCCTCTCTCCCTCCCTCCCTCCCTTCCTCCCTTCCGTGGAATAGGTGGGAGCTGGGGGTGGGGGGAATGAGGTTCATCAGATGCCCCTGGGGGCAATGGGTCCCCTGCTTCAGGGGAATAGGTGGGAGCAGTGGGGTACACCAGATGCCCTCTTGTGGGCTCTGTGTTTGGTCAGGCAGGTGCCATACACCACATAGAAATGTACACAGTTATTACTTTTTATTATTTATTATTCAGTTATTCCCTCTTTATTCCTTTAGGGAAGTTATCCTCTGCTCAATTGATATATATATATATATATATATATATATATATATATATATATATATATATAAAATATTTGCCCCCAGGAAATCATCTCTTAGATGGATTATTAGTTTTCTGGGTGACTCTTGGCCATGGAGTTCCCTGTGACACTCGGGTACTGGCCACACCTGTATCAGGTGCAGAACTGGAGCCATCCGGGCTCAGAGCTGGCCAGTCTGTTTGAGAGAGAGCACCCTGGCAACGCACGATTCAGGTGCCCTGAGCGGAGCTAAAGGCTTCCTAGGACTGCTTTTTTTTTTTCCCCCTCAAAGAAGCTCCTTTGATTTGGATCTTTATGACAGACCACAGACGGGCAGTGCTCTCTCTTCTGGGCTTCAGAAGACTTGCTCAGACCTTCTGATCAGTCGAAGAGAGAGAGGTCTCCCCCATGCAGTGGGCTAAGTTTTGCTTGGGATTGCTCTGCACTGTTTGGAGTTTCAGGTTAGAAGCTGGTGCTGCCTGGACACACTGAGACTGTGACCTGCAAGAAGGAGCCCTGTCACCTTCCCCTCTCCCCTCTCCGCTCTCCCCTCTCCGGCAGTGTCTTAAATTTGCCTCCTGAGAGTCAAGGTCAAGACCCACTCATGGAATGTGAGTACTGAGATGGGCTTCTCTGGCTCCCCTTATTTCACGCCATTAAGTAAGAAGCGTCGGAGGGCACACCTCTGCCACAGGACGCATACTCTCACTTCAAATTGACAAAGTGTACTGTTTTGTCATCAGCGATATAGTTAGCTTCTTTTGTATTGGGATCGGGCTGGTTTTAAAGCAATTGAATGTATGTAGCCCTTAGTCGGGTGTATTTTATTCTGTGCTTGAATATATAGCAGCATTCTAGCAATTTCTAGAAAGCACTGTGAGTTTATGCATCTATTGTAAGTTTAAATAAATTCCCTGGCACTAATTAAATTTTACTGTATTCTTATGGGGTTGATTTGCTATTAAAAAAAATAGTAATTGTGTGATTCTCCCCACCCCACCCCGTGTTCCTCTAGTGTCTCAAATCATCCCACTGGCAGTGGTGTAGGGTGTAGAAATCCTTGTGAGAGCTAACATTGTGTGATTCTAATCTCACTGGCCCTGAGCTTTGACACGGGGGATTTGGAGATTCACACTTATCCAAAGTGAGGAAGGTTATTCACTCATCCTGGCAAGGAACTCTGACTTTAAACATAACAAGACTCAGATGTCTTGCTTTAGAAAAAACAGAGAGAGCCACTGGCAAATGTCCAGTGAGCCTCTGGCGAGCCCAAGTGCTGGACCCAGCAGGCTGAGGTGAAATCAACAAAGTCACCGGGCTATACCTTCTCTGGCTCCCTCAGCACAGAACGGTTTTGAGTTAAACAGCAGCGGAGATCTTAATCTTCTCATCAGACAAGGGCACACGATGTCTTTACCCAGGGCCGTCTCTCCAAGGAGACCAGAAAAGCAACTTGTACTCTTCCTTTTTAAAAAAAAAAAAAAAAAAAGCATGTATGGCCTAACACCAAGTGCACAAATAGCCGTGCTTCGGACAGTCCAGCCCTGCCCCCAGGTCCCTTCTCTAGAGGTGACCAACAGTGCCCATTTCTTGTGGATTCTTCTATTTACGTCATATTGCTGTGCTTGGGTGAGTGGTTCTCAGTGCTGCTGGGAGCCAGTGGAACCTAGTAAAAAACATTAGGTCTTTGGAGGAGTGACCTTGGAGGGGACTCTGCATCCAGCAGCCACTTCTATTTCTTGGCCACCATATGGAGAATAGCTTCCTCTAAGCACACATTCCCCCCTCCTCCCCCCGTGGTTTGCTGCTCTGCCACAGACACAGAAGCCAAGTGACCATGGGGTGAGACCTCTGAAACTCCAGGACCAAATGGCCTTTGCTCCTTATAGATCCATTTGCCTCAGGTGCTTGCTATAGGAAAGGGAATCTGGTTAAGTATAGACACTCATAAACTGCAGGCCAATCCAATGCACCTGCGGGTTTTTACACTGTGTGGTTTAGGTTTAAGTCATATATGTAAAATAATATATCATTCGAAAATGCCCTGTGTACATTCTCCCGTGTGTTTCAATTATCTTTACATTATTTCTGGTGAAACCTTTTGAAAATGCTGTGAATACATACTGGTTATCACGTTGTACTGTTTAGGGAGTAACGAAAGGAGAAGGGTCCCTCGGTGTTCAGGACAGGCTCGTGCTTTCTTGGCAAACACTTCCTTTCTATGGCTGGTCGAAGCTGTGGGATGTGGGACCCACAAACCCAGGGGCCTGGTTTTACACTAGAGACCTGTGCTAGGGAGCCTATAGGACAAGGGTCAGGATCAAAGATAAGGTCACGTGAATGTCAATAGAGCCTGCTAAGGAGCCCTCCATATTGGTAGAAGAGATTTACATTTGACCTGTAAGTGATAGCAGGATCTCGTTACCCCACCGTGTGAGTTGGCAAACCAGTAGATGAGAAAATGTTGACTTGGTTTGAACCCACGCCGCCTCATGCGGACATCCTCCTTTACAGTGAAAACTTTCTTCTGTGATCCCATTGTATATTTTTCCTCTGAGATTTTACATTTTTTTTCTTTTAGGACAGAAGGCTGGTAAGAAAACCAGCAGCATAAATGGCAGTGTTTCTGCAGTTTGTCATTTGTATTTTGACTTCTTAAAAAATGCTTTTAGTTATGTGTTTATACATGAGTCTTTGTGCGCTAGTATGAAGGTGTTATGAAGACCAGAAGAAGCCATGGGTTCCGGGAGCTGGAGTTACAGGTGGTTGTGTGCCATCTGACATGGGTGCTGGGAACTGAATTCACACCCTCTGCAAGGATAATATGCATTCTTACCTGCTGAGCTGTCTCTCTGGTCTCCTGTACTTTTGGTTTGGTTTAGCATGCAAACATGTTCAAACTATTTTAAATGTGGTTATATTTGATGATGTTATAGCAACTATTAAAAAACTTGGTATTTTAAACTTTTATTTTTTGAAAAGAGGGTGGCGTGTGTTGGTGAGTTCTTGCCTATTGGACATAGAAAGCTTCCATAAGCCATCCTGGGCATTCATCTCTCCATAGTTTGGTTATAGGCCCACACTGTTAGCCCAGGACACTTTGTCTCACTTGGACCTTTTTGTTTCCTAGCAATCAAGTGGACATCCCAAGAAGCCTTCAACCAGACCCAGTCCAGCTCCCTCCTGCGTGACCCCATGGAAGGGGAGAACAGCACCAGTTCTACCAGGACCCTGAGGCTGCCGGATGCAACCAGCGCCGCCTGGTACATCCTCACCATCATTGGTATCTATGGGCTGATCTTCATCTTCCGGCTGGCTAGCAACATCCTCAGGAAAAACGAGAGGTCCTTGGAGGGCGTTTACTACTCAAACTTAGCTGCTGAACTCAAGAGGAAAGGGCTTCAGAGCAAGGTGGCCCAGTGTTCGCCACTGATCGTCAGCAACGCAGCTGTTGGCCCAGAACCAAAGCGTGAAGACAGCGGGCTCCATGTGGGAACCCAGCTGGTCCCTTGAAGGTCAAGGCTGCCAGACCAGTACTGGGAGGCTGCTGGAGGTCGAAGGTGGGCAGTTTGGGGCCTGCCTATGACCTTGAGAAAGGAATTCAGTCCTGGATCAGGGCAGAGTGAACATCTCTGGCCATGGACACTTTGGGCCACAAACACCTTGTCTTCAGGTGATAGGGTTGTCAACAGTCACCAGTTGCTGTCACCAGGTGAAGGAGTAACCAGTCACCAGCTGCTGTCACCAGGTATTTCTGGTGTGATAAGAAGAGACAGTTGAATCCACAAGTTGAAGGGACTAGGGTTCTGTGAGGGATTTGGGATACTCCTGGGGCAAAGGGGATGAAGGCTGGGCTTGGGGTCAGATGTTCAGGATTAGCATCCGACTTCTAGGAACTGCACACATTCTTGACTGTCAGTCACCTGGAATAGGTAGGGGTTGGGATTGACTGTCCCCAGAAGTGACCTCGTCCATTGAATTTAGGACCAGAGTTGTTCATAGCAGAAGCTAAGAATTCTTCTTCTTCTTCTTCTTCTTCTTTTTTTTTTTCTGGAAGAGTCTGGTGCACTGAAAAAAAAAAGCATTCATTTTGGATTCAGGTGTTCCAGACTCTGGTCTGGGCATGTTTGGCTCTGCTTTGATGCCTGGGGACTTATTACTGCACTTCTCTGAACATAGATTTCTAGGTCGCATGAGAAGAGTGCTGCCAGCCAGTCAGACCATGTGGCTGAGCTCTAGTGAGAGTGTGCATGTGAGTGCACTTTGGAATGAAAAGTACATGTGGAAGTAGAGGTGTGTGACAGTGGTGACGGTGTGGAGACTGAGGCCCACAGCCAATCCTGTTTGTGAGGTGGCAGTGATGGCAGCAATGGCGTCGATGGCTTTAGGACGTGCTTCTTAGAATTTGGCAAGTCACCCTTTTGTTTTTAAATTGAGTTTTAGCTAGACCTCCCTCAGACTTAACCACTGTATTTCCATATGTCATTATACTATGTGCTTATGAATGCTCTCTCAGCCCCTGCTCTTTTGCCAGCCCCTCCCTTTTCCCAAAGAGTGTCCCCTTCTGCCTTCATTTCACACACAGTGTGACCTCTTGGCCCGCTCTCTTTTGACTTCTGCATCCTCTCTCATAGCCTCTTTCTATTTTCCTGTGTACACATACAAGCACACATACAAGCACACACATACACATGCACACACACACATGCACACACACACGCATACACACACATGCATGCACACACATATAATTCAATCTATATCTGCACAGCTATGTGTGTCTCTCTATGTATATATACATATATGTATGTATGTACATATATATCTGTGGTGTATGCACACACACACACACACACACACACACACACACACACACATGGGATCTCAGAGGAGCAGAGGGGAGGGAGGTAACCCTAGGGATGTGACGTAAGCCAGGGTTTCAGACGATGATTCCTCCAAAGGCTTCACAGGGACTCAGCACTTGACACCTACAGAATGAGGATCCAGAGTGGATCAGATGAAACTATAGCCTCTCTTGGTTCTGGGGAGTCCACAGCATATGGACACCTCAATCAGTCAGACTCTCCCAAGCTTGGCAGGGTAACATCAGTGTGAGACACAGAGACTGTTCTACCGGCTACAGATTATGTCAGGAAAGTATTCATAGGATGTTCTATAACAAATTACAACAGAGTTGAGAAAATTGATTGATATACCATAGGGCAGGCTAGAAAATGAGACGTGCCATCCAGTGTCTGCATTCACATTGTAAATAGATGCTCCTGAAGATTTAACACAGTGAAAGCAGTCAGCTATGTCGGCTGCTGAGCCATGTGCACACAAACACTAGAGTTCTCTGGAGGATATTAATTCTGAAATTGTCACTTGTCAGGAGGATGCTGGAGCATCTGACCTAGCGTATCCCTCCCCAGTTGTAAAACTCCATCATTATCTGCCTTCCGCACACATGGCCTCCAATGTCTGTTCAGGGACGGACCTGTTAGAGTCTCCTCATCAATACATAAGCATCAAGAAGATGCCTTCTTTCCAAGGCCAGGCAGGTCATTTGTCCTACCACCCCAACTGACATGTCACATGGAGTACACTAGAAAGGTTAACCACACATAAAATAGAGGCCCCAGAGATCCCATGTGCTACCTTCCACTTGGGCCAGACAAGATATCTATGTCTAAGAATGAAGGCAGATCATTCTCCAGAGAGGCAGAACAAAGTCTGGCCCCTCAGAATGTAAGTCTCAGAAGCCCAGAAAAGAACTCCAAAGTTTATAGGTACTTGAAGGGCACAGGCCATTTTAGGTAGTTATGCATAGCTGTGAGCAAAATACCTAGAAAGAATAGTGTAAAGGAGAAACAGTTAACGTGGAGTCCCAGTTGCAGAGGGTTCAGTCAGAGTCGCTTGGTTCACGCACTTGGACAGAGCATCCTAATGGTAGCAGCCTGGGCGTGTCTTCCTCTCCTGGCAGGTAGGATACGGAAAGATGGGGGAAGAGGGACTGGGAACCAGGTGAAACCTTCAAAGCACACCTCTAGGGACCGCTTCCTCCAATTAGCCCCACCCTCCTAATTTTATACCATGTCCAAAATATGCCACCATCTGGGGACAAAAACATGTAAAACATGACTCTGTGATGACATGTCATGCAAAACCACAACTCAGACACACTTTGGACCCAGCAGCATCGTGACGATGAAATGCACTGTTTGGTCAAAGCCCAGAGCAGGGGTTGGCAGGGATGCTTCTGGGGGACTGAACACACGAGCTGAACTCAAGGTTGGTTGGAAATGAAATCTGCGTTGGCAATCATTTAACCATTAAGCCACAGTAGAGGGAGGAGTCTTACACAGTGCTGGTACATTTACCACCCTCACACAGCCTCCACAGAGGAGGTTCATGGAAGCTGAGGCCCAGAGAAGCTAAGAGACGTGTATACTGTCACACAGCCATCAAATGTTTTAGGGTCAAGTCTATCGGAATCTGAAGCGCTGTGATGTGTCTGTTACCTCTGTCCTGGTTTGCTTTCTATTGCTATGATAAACACCATGACCAACACAACTTGGGGGATGAGAGGATCTATTAGGGCTTACCCTGACAGCTCACAGCCCACCACTGAGGAAAGCCAGGGTAGGAACTCAAGAGGGGATTGAAGCAGAGACCAGGACAGCACGGCTTGTTCATCTAGCTTCTTACACAGCCGGCCCTGCCTGTTTAGGGATGGTGATGCCTGTGGTGGGCTGGGCCCTCCACAGCAATTATCAATCAAGGCAATCTCTCACAGCCATGGATATGGGCCATTCTGACCTGGACAATCCCTGAATATAGACCCTTTCAGAGGACTATGTTCTAAATCTATCCTTGGATGCTAGGTCCAGCTCTCTCTTTCTCTGCGTCACATCTGGGGAGAGGTCCTGAAGATGGGAAGGTGGTTCTTAGTCCTGGTCAGCTGGTTTCTGTTGTCGTTGTCGTTGTCGTTCTTGTTCTCGTTCTTCTTCTTGTTCTTCTTGTTCTTCTTGTTCTTGTTCTTCTTCTCCTTCTCCTTCTCCTTCTCCTTCTCCTCCTCCTCCTCCTCCTCCTTCTCCTTCTCCTTCTTCTGCTCCTCTTCTTCCTCCTCTTCCTCTTCTTCCTCTTCTTCACTTCCTCCCTTCTTTTTTTTTTGAGACAGAGTTTCTCTGTCTTGGACCTCATTATGTAGACCAGGTTGTCCTCCTTCTGCCTCGGAAGTGCTGGGATTGATTAAAGTCCCGAGCCACCATTGCCCGGGAGAAGGATTTCTTTATAAGGAATGTCACCTAGCAAACAAACATGGAGTCTTCTCTTGGTTGAGAAGAAAATGGGGAGGGCCCTTGGCCTCTCCCTGTGTTTGCTTTGTAAATGGGGTGATAGTGTTTGTTTCAATAACACGGGGTACAGGGCTTGATTGATAGGTGGTAGGTAAAGGGCCCAGAGCCACTCCCAGTACTAATGTGCTCCAAACATTGTTTCCCAGTCAATAGCTGCAGGGCCTTCACAGTGATCTTATGCGGCAAAGTCACTTCTCAATGAAAGTATCATCCCAGGAGCACATTTAGGGAAACTGGAGAAGTTGGGGGGACAGACAGACAGACAGAACGAGGTGGGGGGCAGGGCTGACTGCTGAGTTACAAGTTGGCTTTGTCCCCGGGACTTCTCTCTCCCTTCTTGCCCTGGCTTGCAGAGGTAAGAACCAGACCCTCTAGGGACAGGATAATGCCACCAAGGGAGCCAGGTGAGGGCAGAGGTGTCCTCCAGCCCTGTGATCAAAGGCTTTTGGGTTAGGGAACCTATAAGGTTCCTGAGTCATCACTGTCCCCTGAAGGTGCCTTGTAGGAACTGTGACTGTGGGGTCTGGATAAGCTGGAGCTGGCAAGGAGCATCTCAGCCCAGCAAAGACCCCAGTGCCTGGGCAGCAGGACACAAAGACTTGTACCTGAGCAGCATCTGAGGATGACCTCACTGCCCTGAGCCCCAAGGATACACAGCCCAGTGTGTCTCTATTTAAATCCGTAAATGTGGCGGCTTCCAAACCGTAGGTTTGCGTACTAACATGTAGGCCCCAGTTTGTGTCTGCTTATACTGACAACAGCCCAGAGGGCTTCATGGTGTTTGGATTCCTTTATGTTTTGTATGGCTAGTTTCTTTCTTTCGTCTTTTTTTCTTTTTTTTTATTAGTAACTTTTTAAAAAATGTTAATCAAAGGCTTTATAAGTTTGGTAATGCTCAATAACAAGATGCCCATACAATCAGAAGTGTAACCCTATACCCAAACTAGATATACCAACTATCTTTGACTGGCGGAGACATGTGAACATCCACCTCCATGTTTCTCTCTCTCTGTCTCTCTCTGTCTCTGTCTCTCTGTCTCTGTCTGTCTGTCTCTGTCTCTGTCTCTCTCTGTCTCTCTCTCATCTCCTAGCTCCTCCTCTCCTTCCCCTCCTCCTCTCCTTACTCCTCTTCCTCTCCTTACTCCTCCCACCTTA